TTTAAAGGAGTAAACTCCTGAAAGTAGGAGCTTTCACAAACCCCAGAATCTGAGAAAGAAGAAAGCTGAGAGCTGAAATGGAAGCAGATGATTTGCATCTGGGCCTGGGTGGAAGGGCCCAGCTGCTCAGCCCAGAGTTTCTCCATCATGGGGCATCCTCTACAGCCAGCTGTCCTGGCCCTGCCCCAACTCTGGGCAAACTGCCAGCAGAGCTCTCAGTTCTGCAGCTTCAGAATTTGTGCCCAACTCCAGCCCATCTGTTTGATGGGCGCATCAGTGTTCAGAAACTGTTCTTAATTGTTAATGTTATCAGGTTATGTATCTAGAGGATATCATTTGAAAGCAATTATTACTTAGCTTTGTGATGAGTACGTTTTTACTTTAAATATATTGCCTATTACTTTAGAATTATTTCTTTACAAATGGATGTCCTGTAATACTTTTATTTTCTATAATAAGCCATACATAGCTATAAGATGGCGAACTTTTTTTTTTTTTTTTTTGGAGAGGTCCTATAGGGCGCGTGCGCTCGCCAGACAGACAGAGACAGAGAGACAGAAAGCGAGAAATCACCCCCCAGGGGGTGTCCACGCTGCAATCCCTTCTCCTCTATTCTCCTCTCGGGATCTTGGGCACGCACACACACGCGCCCGGCGTGAGTTTTAAGCCACCGGGTCCGGGACGTGAACCGCGGTTGACTACGTGGGAGTCCAGCGACATAGCCATTATGCTAACTGCTGGTTCCCAAGATGGCGAACTTTTTGTGCAGCATTTGTTGCAGATTGCTAAAGCCAAGAGCAAATTAGGAAATACTTCTCTGTTTGTCAGAAGGGGCTAAAACGATATCCAGTGTAATTAACTATTATACGACTAGTGTTAAAGTCAGATGGCTCTTTTACTCCTAGATCAGTGTTTTCACTAAATTTTATAAAACACGAGAAAAGGAACAATGGAATGACAAACTGGCCATTTGATGAAGTGCTGAACTGCTGAATTGCCTAAACAGTGGAAAGTTTACTCATTATCTCCATGAGTAAAACAGTTTTTCTCTTCCATTTATTTCTTTTTATTGCCAGAGGACATATGCACTGACCAAAGAGAGATAGTAACCTCCCCCACGGGTTGTAATCATACTGCAATCTTTTTTATTTCTTTTTTTTTTTTTTGAGAGGTTTTTGCTATAGGGCGCTTGCGCTCGCCAGACAGACAGAGACACAGAGACAGAAAGCGAGAAATCACTCCCCAGAGGGGATGGCCATGACGCAATCCCTTCTCCTCCGTTCTCCTCTCAGGATCTTGGGCACGCACGCACAAGTGCCCAGCATGAGTTTTAAGCCATCTGGTCTGGGATGCGAACCACGGTCGACTACATGGGAGTCCAGCAACATAGCCATTACGCTAACTGCTGGTCCCCATCTTTTTTCATCCATTTCTTTATTCTCTCAGGATTGGGGTGAACACACCCGGCATGTCTTTTAAGCTTCAGGGGCCAGGATTTGAATTGTAATCAGCCATGTGGGATTTGGCCCTCTATGCATAGTACTTAACCACAGTGCTAAAGGGCTGACCCAAGAGTTTTTATTTTATATATTTTTCATTTTTATTTATTTACTTTTTAGGTTTTTGCCATAGGGTGTGTGTACACACTGGAGAAAGAGAGACACAGAGAGGGGGAATGTGAGAAATCATTCCCAGGCATGATAACCACATAGCAGTTCCTTCTCCATTCTTCACTCAGGATTTTGGTCATGCACACACACACATCTGCCATGATTTTCAAGCCACTAGGTCCAGGACTTGAACCGCAGTCGACAATGTGGGAATCTAGTGCCTTAAGCACTAAGCAATCTGGGGCCAGAAGTTAGTGTAATGGCTATGTCACTGGACTCTATGTGGTCGACCGTGGTTCAAGTCCCGGACCCGGTGGCTTAAAACTCACGCCGGGCACATGTGCGTGCATGCCCAAAATCCCCAGAGGAGAATGGAGGAGAAGGGATTGCGGTGTGGCCATCCCCTCTGGGGGGTGATTTCTTGCTTTCTGTCTCTCTGTCTCTGTCTCTCTGTCTCTCTCTGTCTGGTGAGCGCACGCACCCTATGGCAAAAACCTCTCAAAAAAAAAAAAAAAAAAGGCACTAAGCAATCTGCTGGCCCCAAAAGTTTTTACTTTAATTCAGGTAACAATATTGAACAGGATCTCATAAAAACGGTCTGAAATCCTGAACTGCATCTTATACAAAAAGAACAAGTACTTATGTTTTTATGAAACGTGTAGAATATATGACCAGAGAAATCCCTGATGTCAATGATGTAGAGGAACTTAATATTTTCAAAGAATGGAGGAAGAGTAAATGAGAAAGACTACACAACGGTGGGAGAAAATAAACACAGGAATACCTTGGACCTTATTTTCTCCCTAGGAATTACATGGTCTTCATCCTTACCCTGCTTGTAGAAGAAGAAAACCTTTGTTTATTTTTTTAAAGAGTAAATCACAAACAGTGATTTTCTTTTTTTATTAACAAAAAAAAAAAAACTGGCTCTTGTAATGAATTAATTTTGATGACAGATATATAGCATATAAATTGAAAACATTATAATTCAAGAGTCAAAAAAAAAAAGCTGCCCTTTGTTGAGTGTATGCTGTGAGATAGACCCTGGACTAAACACTATACGTTCCTTTGTTTCTAGTTTTGCAACCCCTCCTTTAGGATATTGGCCCTATTTGAAGGTTAGGGAAATGAGGCCTGGAGACATTAATGTGTCCAGAACTCTAGAACCACTCAGTGCCAGAGTCAGCCTCTTAAGCCTACTCTCCTAACCATGAAACTATCAGTGTTAACAAAATATTGGCATTTTGTCCAGGGCAATTATTCTTGTGCTGAACAATCCATGCCTTCAAAGCACTGGGCATTGTCGGCCCGCAGGTACTAAGTACCTTCCCATCACTATGAATATTAAAAATTTCTTGGGACCAACAGATGGCATAATGGTTACATCACTGGACTCCCACATAGTCAATCACTGAGTCCTGGACCTAGCAACTTAAACTCACACCAGGCGCATGTATGTGCATGCCCAAAATCCCAAGAGGAGAATGAAGAAGGGATTGCTGCGTGGCCATCCTCCCTGGGGAGGAGAATGATTTCTTGCTTCTATCTCTTTGTCTCTCTCTGTCTCTCCAGTGAGCACACGCACCCTATAGCAAAAATCTCTCTAAAATAAAAAAAATTTTCACGTATTTCCAAACTCCCTATCCCAAACACATCAAAAATAGCTGGAAGATAATAAATCCTAGAAACTTACAAATAAAAATATCCTGAAGAGTATTTCTGTAATTAACTTGTACAGAAAAAAAAATAGCAATAAAAAAAGTAATGTTGGCTTTAGTTTTTTCTCATACAAATCAGATATTTAACATCTATCATATACTAGAAAATATGTTAACATGCTTTCATAACTATGTATAAAGGAATGTGAGGTGTGTGCATATGTGTGTGCTTGAGAGAGAAAAAAATAGAGACAGAAATAAGAAAATTATTTTTTATATTATACTTGAAGAAGTTTAGAGAACTTAATTTGCTAAGCAGAAAATACAATTGTGTTTTCTCTATATTATAACTATACTGTGGATATTCATTGGAGTTACACTATTGGTGACTAGAAACAGAATTTGGAAACATGGTAAAAAGACATCCAACTATAGTTGTAGCCATAAAATTAGATAAAAAAGAGGATGATCATGTGAAAATAATTCATACTTAACACAATAGATAAGTATCTTGCTCCATAAATATTGGGATAAATATGTATAAATAACTGATTCAGAGAAGGAAATGAAATAGAACCAGAAAACAGATGGGAACTATCTGGAGTGGAGCAACATCAAACAAAGAGAAAAGAATACCAGAAAAGTGGATTGGATAGAACCAGAAAACAGATGGGAACTATCTGAAGTAGAACAACATCAAACAAAGAGAAAAGAATATCAGAAAAGTGGATTTGAAATGATCAATTCAATGATACTATGTCACCCTAGAGTGAAAGAGATGGGATAAGGAAAAACTCTTGAATTTAATAAGGCTTCTTAGAAGGCCAATAAATTGAAGACATCTCCAAGATGTAACAGATTTTAAAAGTCTAGCTATAAAAATTCCTTTAAAAAGCAATAATTTATTTGAAAGAAACGTTGAGACCAGCTCAAAGCTTGATTGTTAAGGGACCCAGATCCCACATGGCCAACTATGAAGTCTGAATATCAGGCACAGTAGCTTGAAAAACATGAGAGGTGCATGCCTGAGTGTCCAAAATTCTGACAGGGTGGAGGAATGGAGGGGAAAAGATTATGGCCTGACCACTGTGTATAGGTATCGTTTTCTCCATTGTCCTCTTTCTGTGTCTCTGTGTCTCTGTCCTGCAAGTGCATATGCCCCCTGGTAAAATTTTAAAACTAAAGAAAAGAAAAACTTTGGAGTGGTTTGAACATAAAAAAAAAAAAATTGTTGAGAAATTAATGCAAAATAAAACAAGAATGCACTATTTGAAAATAAGCTTCTAGGGAATTTACCAGAATATGAAAGAGTTATAAAAACACATTGACTTGGAGTCTTCTCAATCATGTGACACTGCTATAAGCTTCTTCTCTGAGATCAGTGCGAGATAATTTTTGAGCAAAAGCTTTCTCATGTTTAGACACCTCTCCTCCTGAAGACAGAAAGCCTTATTTGTGGCAGTGAAGTTCTAGTTTTGGTAGGAAGAATTCCTATACACACATTGTTAAATGGACTCTATCTTTCCCCTGTAAAAAAAGATCTCCTGTAGTTTTGGAAAGACTGAGGCAACTCTCTGATGGGAAGGACTCCTTAGCTGAGGGCTCAGTGTACAGACATTTTGTTCTTCAGTCTCCAAGCTAGAGCAAAGGATGTGGCTGGGGTAGGAGGTGGGGACTATGTATGTGCGTGTGCTGGTGTGTGTGTTTTTTCTCATTTCCGCTTCCCCTTTCAAGCTAGCAACACCAGCTGAATGAGAACAGAGAGAAAGACACAATCTACAACATGATACTTTCTCTCTGCCCTCACCTCTATACCCACATCTGGGAAGGGCTCAGCTCAGCTTTGAGAATGGCTTCACCTCACAGTCAACTCTTTACCAGTGGACAGGTAAGTACAGCTTTTACCTCAGTTTTAAGGCTTTAGTGACTGAGGATGATGCTAGGAGATTGAAGAAAATAGATCTGAGAAAAATCAGGTTCCCAAGAAAAAGGAAAAGTTAGGAGAAAATCTCCCTTCTCCCTGACATCAACCTTTATCATCATTGTGCCTATCAAAACAACCTTTATCATCATTGTGCCTTTTTCCCAGCTTTCTCATCACTGAAGAATTCATCTTTCTTGGGTCACAAAACTTGGGTTCCTTTCTAATTTAACATTAAGAAATTGTTTGCCTTGCCTTTTTTTTCCTGAGGAGTTGCTCTTCGTAGCTTGTTAAATCCACTTTTGCTGCAATTTCAGTCAGATTCTAACTTTAAAAAGTTCTCAAATCAAAAAAAAAAAATTCTGTTTCATTGCCAAGCGTATTCAGGTGTCCATAGCTCTGACTGTTGGAAATGCTTAGCCTAAACCAGTTTTGCTTTCTGTGGATATAACCTCTTCTTTCAGAAGGTGTAGAAGAAAACTGTTGAAGAGATAAACTGCAACAAGATATAGTGGGGTAACTTTGAGGAAAGATTCACACAATTATACAATGCCAGGCCAGATCAACTGGGAGGCTTAATACAGATAACAGCATCTCAGGACTGATTTTTCAGGATTCACATCTCAAAGGTAGATAACTGGGTATGTTAACCTGTATGTAACCTACATAATTGGAGTGCTGTGGCCCTCCAACACCCCTTTTCTCAGTGATAGCCAGGCAGAGCATGCCACCACCTATATTAGTTTTGGGGAGGGTAGAGGAGTGGAAAGATGCTCCACATGGGGGTTTTCCCACACCCACGCCACTGAGCTCACCAGTGGGCCGAGAAGAAATGTGTCCCTATAGCTGAGCCAAGGTAAAATAAGAAAGAGTTGTATAGAAGTCATCTGATAAGATTATGTGGGGAAGGGTTGGAAGACATATCCAGGGAAGTACTAGTGACTCCGTCTACCATGAGTGGCCCTGAATGAAGAAGCACGGGAGCTTTCTAGACAGTACAGAGCAATGCCTAAGGTAAAATCCTGGAGGTTGAAAGCTATCAACTCATGTGTCCAAGATTCAATCATTATTAGACTTGAGTGGTTAGCATCGAATATCTGGCATAATTCTTCTGTAATATTAAGCATTAGCAGGAAGAGGGGAAGCCAAGTTTATTGTCTACCTTTAATGAGAATAATACCAGACATAACAATGACAGGTGAGACAGCAAGAGATATAACATAATTTCTTATTCATAGGCACCAAAGATTTTGGAAACTGTATACAACCATACTAATAACTTGTTCTCAGAACTCCTTGAGTCTTCTGAATATTAAGATAGAATACTGTAATTAAATATTATGTAGTGGACATGGAAGTCCAAAACAGGGTCATTTTAAAAGGGCTATTTATTCTATGAGCCAGAGAGGGAGAGAGAGAGAGAAGAATAGCCGTAACAGTGTCCAGCACCATGATTCACCCCAGCCTCATTCAGTCCCGGATCATGAGCATGCACATTCCTCACATACTCAGGGGGGTCTCCGAACATGAATGTGAATCTTCCCATATGGATTAGCTTCACAAAGCAATATATTTTACCACTGTGTCACCATCCAGTCCCGAAGAGTCATTTTTTGTTCAAGGTTTATGTTTCAGATTCCAGTAGAAAATGGAAAGAAACTTTGGTCTCCACCCATGTCATGGCTTACTAGGTTCACTCTTCAGTTACAATAAGAGAAAAAGATGAAGCATCTATTTCCACTTGCAAGACCAAAGTGGTTATTCCAGTACCCACAGTACTCTGTGCCCTGCCCATTCCTAGGCCTAATACAGAATAGTTACAAATGCAGTTCAATCAAATGAGTTGGAGGATATGGGGAAGAGTGTGTATAGATATAGAGAAAGAAAGGAGAGCAAGAATAGAAGTGAGTACATGAGGGAAAGAACTTGATTACCAAGGAAATAGGACTGAAGAATTAAAGATATGAATTCTATGTCTATGAAACTGTCTATAAACCAGCTCAATGAACTGCTGTTTTTTTACTGAGTACATGAGGGAAAGAACTTGATTACCAAGGAAATAGGACTGAAGAATTAAAGATATGAATTCTATGTCTATGAAACTGTCTATAAACCAGCTCAATGAACTGCTGTTTTTTATTGTTGGTGTCTTTATAGCCCATCCAGATGGAAAAATTTGGTGTCTCTCAACATTGAAAGCACAGGATTGGGCCAGCTTGTGGCATGGTAGTTAAGGCAGCTGGGTCCCACATGGCCTGAACACATAGTTCAAGTCCCTTGAAATACATGTAGTATATATCCAAAATTCCAAAAGAAAGGAGAAATGTAGGAGAAGTGATTGTGGAGGTACCATTCCCCCATGGAAGGTGCTTTCTCACTTTCTCTCTTCTTTCTCTCTCCAGGGAGCTCATGTACCATCTGGCAAAATTTTAATTAAAGGGAAAAAGAGAGAGAGAGAGCACAGGATTAATTTTTTTTCAAAAACACAACTGTATTATTTCCTGCAGAACTTTACAAACCTTCTGTAAAATTCATCCACATCATGAAAGTAGAAATAAGGACAAAAGAGAAAGAGGGGGGAAAAAGAGATATTAGATGGTTTTCTTTTAGTATTTATTCAGCCAAGCTTGCTTGTGGGAAGATAAGTGTAAAATAGGAGGAGAAGTAGGGTTATCTTGATTAATTGACATTTTTCATGCCGTGTTTACTAAATAATAGACTCTTTTTTTTTTCTCAAACAGATTGAACAGCTCCCTTAGCCCACAGAACTCTTGAAATGCTCAGATGCTGTCTTTAGGATAGGTTTTGTCCTGATGATCTTCTAAACTGTAGTGACATTTAAGAGAGTTAGAAACTAAGAAGTTTTTTAAAATATATGAAATAGTATGAGAGCCAATTGCAGATTGTACAGGTATATAGAAGTTGAATGGGGGACAGTCAACCCGGCATGAGGTGAAGTTTTTCCTGTTCGAAAAGGAGTAATGTTGGCTATTCTGGGATTCCCCACAGTCCTTTGCAATGGTAGAAATATGTGTCTTGCCAGGATGCGGAATTTTGGGGCCACCTCATGGAAACCCCGTTTCCTTTTTCTCTCCTCCCACGTAGTTCTCACGAAGTCCCAATTCACAGGCATAATGTCGAGGGTGTAGGCAGAAGAGAAGAGAGGTTTGCCTAATTCATGTTCCTGGGAGGAGGTACAGAGCACTGAACACAAACAGCCACCAAGCCATGGAGACAAAAGTGGCAAGAGGAAGGTTTGTCCGATCTGAAGGAAGAAAGCATATATCTAGGCCTCAGAACTTGTGAGTCTGAGTGCCATTCATAGCTATTAATATTCTTTGTGACCCATACAAATTTTCCCCCTACCGCTAGTTTCCTCACTCCAAAATGAGTGACTAGTTTTAGGTGATCTTTTTGATCCCTGTGGGCATTGGTAAGAATGAAGGAGTTTTCATTGTTTATTATTTGTCTGTGCGTAAGAGCAACATCCATCTGGATTTTACACAATCTACTGTACCCTGCTTTTCCTCCTTTCCTTATTCTTAAAATGTTACAATTTTAGTAAATGATTTAGACTGAAAGCAGATTAATAATAATCACAGCTGTCATTTATTATGTTCATTTATTGATCAGGGGTTTAGTATGCATTACCTGATTTTAGCCCACAATAACCCAACAAGTTTGCTATATTATCTGTTATACATATGAAGAAATGTTGGTATATAGGAGGCAAACATTTTATCAAAAATACATATGCAATTAAATAGAATGTTACTCTAACAAAGTTTATTCTGATTCCAAGGCCCAAGCTCTTTCTACACTTTTCTTTTCCTTAAGTTTAAAACAAATAAACAAAAAAACTATAGACTTTAAATAAAAAAGAAAGAAAGAAAAGAAAAAGAAGAAAAAGATGAAGCAGCATTGACCATTCTCACTGGGTCCCCTGGTGAAGTATCATGGGCAGAGCTGATATTTGGCAGGTACACATTAGTAAGCCCATACTTGTCAAAATATTAAAGTATGTCCAACAAATTATGATAAATATCACTACTCCAAGCACTTTAAGTGCTTATCTTTAACCCAACTAATCAGTTCCATCACAAGATTTTCCAGAGTTGACCCCAAAGTTCAGTGCTATACCAGCCATGACCTTATAAAGCTTAGCCACAGGGCTGTGACTAGTGTCAACTCTGGCTGTCTTCTGATGATGACCCCATAACCATAGTTAACCATTCTAAGGGCCACAGCACTCTGAAAGTAATGCAGAATTCCAGGCGGACTTTCTCTTCTCAATTAGACCTAGTAGGATCCTTGCTGAAAACCACTCTGTAAGACTAAGGAAGGTTAAATTGCCTTATGATTATCTAAATCTAGTTGGACTTCAGAAGAATTATGCTAATAACACAAACAAGGAACACTTCTTTCACTAAGATTGTCACAAAACTAAGCATAAATTGCACTGTTTATTCTGCCTCCTCCATGCTAGACTACAAAATAGCTTATATAAAATAAAAAATGAAGAACTTACCAGAACAGTTTCTACTTTCCTATATCACAAATTACTTTCACCCCTGACACTTTGGTGGTGATTTTAGGCTATTCTCTGATTATATTATTAGCAGAAAGACTATACAACATGGAGTCTAACCAGCCTGGGTTTACATATTATGACTTATGAGGTTCTAAGTATGTGTTCTTGGATAAGTCACATATCTCTTGGAGCTTCAGGCAACAACAATTAGCTCAAAAGTGGCTGTAAGATTAAGTGAAGTCCTTCACAGGGATATTTATAGATAAATATAAGGTACTCTATACACATTAATTCTCATAAGTACCTATTACTTTGAATTGCCACTGTCAATGTGTAGTGAATTTCTGACTGTATCTCTTAAAGAACAGAGTAGATAAGATTCTCACTGTTGCTCTTAGTATCATAATAATGACATACCCCTAAAAGTTTTCTGCTC